TCCTACAGCCTTCTCTTTTTTGAGAATGAAAAACAGTTTCTATGCCAATTTTTACCTGCCTATCTGTGGCAAATTTTGTGTTGCAAGGCTGTTAGCATGTCTCAAATTCTGCAGGCTACCTGGATCCTACAGTTCCTGTGTCTAAGCAAGCCCAGACTTCTCCTTGAACCACCAGTGTCATTAACTGAGCCTTGCTTCTTGGACTCCTGAAATTTGTTAGCTGGAAATCGCAATGCTGAAACTAACCAATACAACAAAACAAATTGTCCTAAAAATATTTCAGGCCAGGTGGGAAGGGGCTCTGAGCAATGTGATCTAATCAAATATGTTCCTGCTCACAGCAGAGGAGCTGTACTAGATGGCTTCTAAAGGTCCCTTCCAACCCAAAATGTTCTAGGATTCAGGATGTCTTTATCTTTGAGGAGATGATATTTTAAAATAATACTTCCTTAGGGAAGTCGAGGAATTAGAGGAAACTGGCTGAAGAGTACCTTCACTAACACGCAAACAGATCTGTGCATGCAGTTGCACAATGAGTCCTGAAAACATCTTTTGTTCATCTACAATAACAGTTAAGATTATGGGCAAAACAAATCCCACCTGGACCTCAGTGCCCTTGCTTTGAGGAGCCGCAAGGCGTCTGTCTATGCTCTGCAAAGCAGAGCTTTCCTGACCTCAGCATCTCCTGCAGCAGCTCCTCCAAGCTCTACACGGATTAAAAAAAGGCAAGTGACTTCCCGTGTTTCACCACAAACTTCCTGCATCTCTGCAGAGTTCTCATAAACCTTTCTCTAATTCTTGACTTCAAAACCTTTGTTAGCTTTCTACTTCTCTGTAACTACAGTCCAAGGCAAACTTGGCTAAACTGATTATCAAAAGGCCCACCTAGAGTTTTCTGAAATTGTCCACACCTCAACAGCAGTTTAAGTGCTCTTACTTACTGGTACAATAATAATGGATGTTCTGCTTCTGGAGGTGTCACAGTGACAGACACCTGTCATGATGATGCTGAAATTTTCCATGGTAGGAAACCACCCAGAATCTTACGATTCACAGATGTGCGCGAATCACTACTACACAAAAGCTATCTCTCCTGCAGGGGACCTTCAGCCACCAAGACATTAAAGCCACCACCAGCAGTGGCCTTCCTAAGAGCAGGGGACAGCATCAGGAAAAAACTGGCCAAGGAATCTTGGCTTACACCTCTCTAAAGTATGTTAAGTTTTCCAATCCACCCCAGAAACTGTTACTCCCAAAACTCTCATCTTCTGTTTGCATCACAGTCTGGGCTGGGTTATAGAAAACAGGAACTCCATCACCTCCCCATGAATACACAGCAGTTCCCATTTGCTCCCACAATTAGATACAGTAATATTAACCTAACTGGGAAGAAATAGTTTATTTCTTGCTTGAATAAATTTATGTGTCTATTCAATAGTCCAATATAATCTGCTTGTCCCAAGTAATACTAATATAAAAAACCTTCAGAAGTATTAAATTTTGTTAAATATTTTAAAAAGCATATGAAATATATTTCAGGCTGGGATTTACATTATTTTTATATTATTATTTATTTTCAGTCTGTCCTCATTCCCAACCTGCTGGTAAACAGTTACTATGGCAGCGTCTGATGCAGAGTGACTCAGCACTCCCTGACATTCCAGTAGCAGTGCTGTCTACTCGTCTGGTTTCTTATGATTATAGCCTTATCATCTCTTTATTGTTTCATTGCAGAATTATGATGTTCAAAATATCATTTTTTCCTTGTGAAACTCAGCATTTATTGGTGGAATCAGTGCAAGAATCTGCTAAATAAAGATCATACCTATTCAGGATGCTATTTCAACTTTCCTTTTGTGTTGATCACAAAGATGTTTGAATTGTTTCCATCATTTCTCAGTGTTTCTTTGGATTGCTATATTGCCAACTGAACATGTCTCATATCAAACCACAACACGCTCAGCTCCAAAATATCCCTGTCTGTTTGACTGTGAGCAGAAGGTCCCCTTCCCTTTGTTAATATTGAAAGCTCCTTGCTTTCTGTTCCTACGGGGTTTTTTGTTTTGGTTTGGTTTTTATTTACCTTGCTTTGAGGGTTGTATTTACACCTTGAGTCTTCTCTTTTATCCTTTCTTTGGATTTCAGTTCAATCCAGAGGTGGCTGGCCAACCAGTTACCATTGTTACCAAAACTCTTTGAGTGTGACCATCCAGCCAATGTGACTGACCCTTACACAATTCTTTATCTACTACAGTCATCCAATTTATCAAATCTAAGAGCATGAAAAGGTTTTGGCAAGTCCTCAATTTAGAATAAATTCTTTTTGATAACAGTGAAACTTGCAAAGTCTGTGGTTTCCCACTTCATGGTTGGATTTCCCCTGAGCTAAAAGGGTGTGAACTCTCCCATTATGGATATTCCTGCCATTGAGGTAGTTGTTTTTCTGTATTATGACATTCTGGAAGAAAATTACTTAAAAGTGGCTGGCTGGGAATCTCAACTGAGTTAGTTTCTCGATTTTAATGTTCTGAATGACATTCTATTTTTCCAATTTATCAAGCAACAAGATTAAATGTAGCAGCAAATTTTTAATAGTAACAAAATGAATGCAAAGTATTGGAGATGACAATTAAAGTATATTTGAGAATATACAAAATTTGGCAGTAAGTAATTTAGTATAATTGAGGTTCGTGTAAAGCATAAGCAAAACCAACTGGGGAGGGGGAGCCCCCACCCCCCAGGAATATGGGGAGGGGTTCACCCCTCCTCACGTACCAAAGCATCAAGGCAAAAAATCCTATTTATATACTATATGCTACAGAAGCTTCTAGAAAACCCCTCCTAGTTTATATTCCTAAAATCTACGTCACTATGTTGTATGGCACATGCTCTACTAATGGGTTAGGGAGTCTCTCATCCTTTTGAGGGTCTTTTTTCTGATGAAGGCTCATCATCTTCCTCAATGACCGAGGTGTGACCTGGAGGTAGCACAGGCGCACTATGTAACTGAGCAGAAGTTTTCCATAACAAGACTCTAATAAAATCCCATGCTTGGAATCGTCCCATTTTGGGCCCATTTCAAGGTTAAAACTCTGTTTCTAGATGCTACTTATCAGACCTACGTCCTTCTACTATTTGCTTCCAACATCCTTGTTCGACTCCCAACATCTGGAAGATGTCCTTTGCCCTGTCTCACCCATCTCCCCCCTCACTCTGTAACAATTGTCTTCTATTGATCTAAGTACAATTTTGCTAATATAGTTACAATTTAATTAGCACAAATCACATTTATCACATTTACCTTTCTAAAATTGCAGCTGACAGATTTATGACAAATGATATGGCAAATATATATGGGGAGGGTTAAGGTATTTTTTTTTAGTAGTGTGATGGGGTACAATGCAAAAATGTGTATTCTATCACCATCTGTTGAAATGTGGGAGGGGTAGTGATCCTTATCTCTGTGGGAGATATCCTCTGCTAATGTGCCATCTGATAAATCAGCGGGATGATCATCGTTATCTTTCCACAACCCATCCTTCCTCCAGAAGATATATTCTGTTAATGGGCCATTAAGTCCTATTGTGTGACTGATAAGATTACATCATCCTATTGGGAGATGCCCCAGCCAGGGGCAGGAGCCAAGCCTTTCCTACCCAGATAAAAAACTGGGGTTTGGGACGCAAAAGCAGCCCTTTCCACTGGATCCCAGAGGAAAGTCGGACCTTTTCCACATCATCGCTGGACCTTCGGAGGAAAACTGCACCTCCTACAGGAGCACTGCTTCAACGGAACCACATCCAGGAGGACTGCAGCCACCATTTATACGGACTGCTACCAACCCCTTGACTAACAGGGTTTCAGGTTGTATTCTGACTCTGTCAGTGGTTTTTCTTTTGTATTACTGCATGTTTTTTATTTTTCTCCTTTTTCCTATTAAATTGTATTACTGACTTGGAGTCTCTCACTGGTTTTGCTTTCAAACCAGCACAAGTACACTTTATAAACATTAAGATGGTTTTTTTAGACTTGGAATACAAAAACATGCTGGAGGAAGAAAAACTAATTTTTCTGTCTACCCCTGTGTAAGAGTTGGTCCGAAGTTTCCCTCATTTTTGCCTTACAAATGCTGCAAGAAGACCCCGAGGAACCCCACCCAGATTGGCTCTGGACAGTGGTTTTCTGGACCGGCCGAAGTGGATGCTTGCCAAGTGACTGTGTGCAGGTGTGTTGTGCTCACAGGACTGTGCTGTTGTGGTACCAGCTGAAGACTGCATGTACTGCACGTCCACACCTGCCTCTCGCAGCACCTCACAATGGTCCATAAATCTTCCCACCTCTTGGCCAGAAGCCACTTGCTTTGGAAAAGGACTAGAAAAGCGCGACCCTCTGGAGAAGACCCTTGAGTACTTCCCACGGATGAAGACCCATCTATTGGCTGAGGACCATGAGGACATCTCATCTCTTGGTTGCTATTTCCCCATTCCCCTCCTTTTCTCTCTATACTTTGTTTCCTATATCTCTCCCCTCTATCGCAACTGAGTTGTTAGCATTCAATAAAAATGTGTTGCTGTGAGTAAACTGATTTGTCCCCTGCTGTTTGCCTTTTGCACCTCCAAGATCCAAAACTGAACCATCATGACCCCCTCCCTGTGTTGGCAGATCGTGACACCCTACAGGCATCTTTCACGTTTTTTTCAGCTATTCCAAGCCCTCCCAATCTTGACACTACATAGGAAGCTCGAGGCCTTTCCCACCGGGTGTGCACCGGGTGTTTTCAAAGACCAGATAAATGAGACTATCACGGCTGGGGTGTGGCTGGTTCCTGGGGGCTCATGTGACACCTCCAGAACCACGGACAGCGGCAGCTCAGTAATTATCATTATTTATTAGCAAACCCATTATTTGCTCCATTAAACCACTGGCAGTTCTAAGGGACTCCCTACTGTGTTCCATATTACTGCCAACGTTAGAGATAGCAACACTGATTAAAGTGTTACCCTAGAAGTTGCAGTTGTTTCTTCTTGTCTTCTTCATCACCATCCTCCTCTTCTGCCATTTTATGTTTTTCAACCTGTGGAAGAGAAGATAATTAAGTCCATTCTGCATTGGACTAACAGAACTCTTTAAGTTAGTAAATACTTTTGAGATAATCAAGCCCACCACTAAGCTGTGTCCTCAACATGGCCACAATGACACCTTTCAAAACCCTCCAGGGACAGTGACTCCACCACTGCCCTGGGCAGCTTCTGCCAGTGTCTAAAGAAATGTTTCCTCGTGGGAAATCTAAACCTCCCCTGGTGAAAACTGAGGCCATTTAATCTTGTCCCGCTCCTTGTTCTGTGGGAGAAAAGACCAACCCCACCTGGCTCCACGTTCCTTTTTGGGAACTGAAGAGAGAAAAAGTCCTCTCTGAGATGCCTTTTCTCCAGGCTGAGCCCCTCTAGCTGCTCCTCATACTCCCTATGGTCAACTCATAGATTATTGTGGGCTTCTGTCTAAGGGCTGGATGCTGCAGGTGTGCTTAGGATGGGCAGAAGATTTATTTACCAGAGGGACAGCACACAGATCAATGCTACTGCAGATGAAGAGGTAGGACTGCCATTAGAGAAAATCTGTTTTGCATGTCATAGCCAAGAGAATAGTTTCAATTGCTGCTGAAAGCTATACAAACATGCTACATGGTGCCAACTCTCCATACCTTCCTGACCTTGAAAATTTAGATATTGTGTCTAAATGAAGAGACAGAATCAACCCTTTGAAGTCAAAGGTGAACATTCCCTCAAGCCAGTAGAAACAGTTCTTTTGACCACTACATTGGTGCTTAAAGCATTCCCAGTTTTCAGGTGGTTCATATCAGCTGGCAGAGCACTATGGTTTACTAGCAGCTCTCATTCAAACTACATTGCAGTCAATATGATCCTACCTTAATGGCAAGGGTACAAGTACAGTTAGTGCAGGCTGATGGCCCCCTAAGCCACAGTAACACACCTGTCTTCCCAGAAAGTGCAGTTCCTCGAAGCCAAGCATAGCAAGCAGGACAGGCCTCACAATGGTAATCAAAGGTCAGGCAAAATCCCAGACCATCAGGTATTACCTGAGAAAGGGCCAAGGTCAGGAAGACAGTTCACAGGTGGGGGGCCTAAGTCCCACGGCTGAGCACAAGCATGGCTGTGACTGAGCTGGAGACCTGCATTCCTGCAACACAGGGTAGGAAGAAGTTTCTGGGACTGGGTTTACATGGTCTCCTGTGCACATGGGAAGGGTGTGGGCAGGACCCCGGGTGAGGCTGATCAGGACTATTAAAGCCCATCAGAGCTCTCAAGACTCCAACAGTTAAAATATTTCTGCTTGAGAGCAGTCTCTTAATGTTTGACTCCAGACACTTGGCATAAAAAAGATCCCACATGATTCTTTAATAGCACTAATTAACTGTCTTTTATCTGTTAAACTTTCAGAGTTAATGCTTTTCATATACACACACACACACAAAAATTACAATTCTTGGACTCTGAAGCAATTTACCAAGTGCAAATTTTTGTATGTCTCATTAATTTAATAAAATTTGACCAACACATCAGTGTTAGCTGAGATCGATGACCTTAGTGCCAAAATCTTCCCAGCTGTAAGAAAAAGGTTGGAGACAAGACTTCTACTCAACTGTTCACAGGAATAGTTGATTGATTGTGGAAAAAACTAGGAAAAATAGAATATTTCATTTTGAGGTTACAGAAATACCAACAAGCATTAGATTAGAAGTGGTTTAATGACATAGTTTGTTCTTTTGCTTTCTGTTTACATCTGTTCATTACCATTAACTCTCTGAATTACTTCTGGTGGGGTTATGCAGGGAGTGCACAGGTGCTACTGCTGCTCTGCTGCTGCCCCAGCTGCAAGGACAAAGCTACAAGAGGGTTTTTAGAAAAAAAACAAATCCCAGACCCACTCTTTGTACATTACAGTAAGGGAGAAAACAAGTAATTCTATTATGATTGTTATGGAACAAATTAAGATATCAGAGTTCAACAGAAGTAATTTAATCCCATAACCTTTCATGCCAGCTGTGCTGAAATCACATTAAGAAAATAAGTGATATTCACTTAACTTCTTCTATCTTTGAGGATATACTCACAGCTCAAATCCAAAAAGATCCTGTCAATAAAGCGGAGCAAGCTCTGGTCACACTTGTGCTGTGGCCACAAGAGCTTAATGCTGCTGCAGGAAATTATGGTAGACCTTCATCAGACTGGAAGCAAAGCTTCAGCCTCTTTATATAGATATAAACATACACTGTAATGACCTTTGAGCTTTCTTTAGACAAAAGCTGTTCTCTTTGGATTTGGATAATGGACAAATGCAGCTATTGTGGTTCAGCTTACAGCTCGTGAGCTGTAAGTAAAGGACAAAACCAAAACCCGAGCATATCCAAAAGCTCAGAACTCCTCAACTTTAGGTGGAGTTTTAAGTGATATCTAATGTATATTAAGTAATTTTGCCACAGATTTTGGCTGGAGGCAGCCAAATGCTGACCTGTTCATGGCAGAGTTGTGTGGGCAGTGAGGTTGTACAGTGGCTGCAAAACAATTGACTGTTCCTGCTGGTGAGCCACTGAAGTTTCAACCCTATTATTTAAAAGGCATCCAGGCTCTTTCTAGCTGTAAGAGCTCCAGTAAAAGACTGCTTCACCAACCTGTATGAGCATTGATCCATGATGCGACCTTCTCAACAGCAGCAAACTGGCAGAGAAGGCAATGAACTTTCTACTTTGTTTCCTCCTGTAGCAATCCCTTTTTGATTTCTAGTTTGGAGGAAGATGCCATCTGCTGTCAGAAGCTTGTGGAGGTTGTGCTGCGATAGAAGATCACTTAGACAATTGGGAGAGAGTCAACTCCAGTAAAAGCATCAGAAGTCAAAGAGCTGCACAAATATTCCCATTGAGAGTGCAGGCTGAAATGCCTTTATAAAACTTTTTATTACTATCTATCATCTCACACATTTATTCATTATTTTCTATCAGCTTGTACTCAAATGGAACATCTTTTAAACGAGATTTTTGGTTCAGAGAAAAAGCCCTTTAGCCCAGTTTATCAGGGCTTTTGATGTCATTTGCCTTCTTGCCATGACCATCTGCCAGCTGCCTATTTGTGCTGGTTTAATTAAAAGATCGAATTTATTAGTCATTAAATTTTTATAATAGAAAGGTTAAGCATTTAGAAAACCATTCAAAAACAAAGGTAAAGAGGTATGAATATCAGAGTTTAACCTTAATAATATAATCTTTTAGAAGTAGAAGCATCAGCACCGAGTCTGTTGAACGGGGAAAACTCAGTGTTTATCAAGGTAACAGCAAAAGTAGCCATTAAATAGTTGAGTTTTCATTAATATTTTGAATCAAATATTACTTCTTGAAAGGGAGTAAAATAGACTGTATGGTCTAACAAAATGGATGTAAGGGAAACAAATCCCAGTCTCAATGAATGGATGAAGGACTGAATGTGCAAAGAGGGGGCAAAAATAAAACCAAGGTGATGAGGGGTTTGGATCACTTCAGCGAAAGGGAAAAGCCATTGCATGAAACAATTAATTGCTCGCAAGGCGATGCTTCAGCAGCAGCATTTAAATCCAGAATTAACAGTAGCAAAGACCTGTATTGCTTAATATCCTCTGGAAAAGGAGGTGGATGAAATCTGAGAAGGAGTGGAGTGATGCCAAGTACTCTCTGAATCTGAGTATGAGGCATCATAGTAGGATCTCACAAAAGTGAGTGATTTGGCATGAAGATGGCACAAAAACCCCAGTGTGGTAAGCAAAGACATGCACCCAGAAAATACAACCTAAATAGGTGCAACAAAGAGTGAGTTGGCTTTTTTAATGACATGAGGAATGTTTCTGTTGAGCTCAACTCTTTACACCCTAGAGTGGTAACTCTCCCAGGTCACTGCTGTGTGCAAGCACATGATGCTCTCCATAGAAAAGTACTTTTCCAGACGGCTGTTAGTTTCCATTTATGTCAGTATTTTGAAAACACCTCTTGAATGCTAAAGCACCTGCCTTTAAGCACACAAGAGACCTCAAGATCTTTTCCTAATACAGACTAAGCCATTCCTTTGAGAGCAATGTTTTCCTTCTGCCTTCCAGAGGAGCAGAGAGGGAGCAGCAGGAACCACCAGCCAGAAGTATTTAAGCAAAAGGCATGTTGTGCTGCCTGTGGCACTTTTGGATAATGATGGTAAAGGCACTGTCTGCTGGTTGCTTTAAAGTAACACACTCTCAGAACCTACTTCTCTTTTCCCAAGGGTAAGAATGCAGTAGTGTATTAGACAATCAAATGAGATCTAGAAACCTATTTCTCAGTACTCAGGTGTGGAAAACCAGACTGAAATCCTCAGCAACCTGAAAATTTCCTTTTTTTTTTTCCTAAACACAACAAACTGACATTGAGACATATTTGATTTCTCACCTCTGTGTTTTCACATCAGTTTGCTTGCAGCCATGGGGACATTGCCATGGGCCCTGGCCTGCTCAGTGTGCATTGATAGGTATGGGCCGTGTGCTGCCTTCTCCATAGCTCTGTGGGGAAAGCAATCTGAGAGACACAGAGAAAAAATATCCTTGTTGTTTGAAATTAGTTAGAAAAAAATAGTCTCTCTTCTGGTTTGTTTAAAAATAACATAGCAATTCTAAACGTTGATGCTCCTCTCAGCTGATCTGGGGATGTCAGAAACTTCCAAAGGATATGATTAATCTTCCAAGCAGGTTTTCTTGCAGCTGCTGAGGACCCACAAAGTGCCTTGAGGACCCACAAAGTGCCTTAAGACTTTGCTCCACAAACTCCATATTGGGGTCTTTAACCTCTAACTCTCGACATTTTTGCTATTGAGAATCTGGGGTGCAACACCAGCTCCCACACAACTGCAGATATTTTTCAATCTCACTGAATCCCGCTGGTTATACGAACATAGAGGTGATGCTTTTTCCTAGCACACTTCCGAAAGATGCATCTTTTACCTTTTGTGAGTAGCCTCATATGTTAGCTGTCATTTTCTTTTCTCAACAGACTTATCAATGTTTAATCACCAGGACGAAATTTTCCATGTTAACTGGGATGCTGACTCATCTTGAAGATGTCCTAAAAATAGGACCTAGTATAAAAAGGTATTTAGTAAGACTGAAAACATGAAATGACTTTTTGTTTGAAATCTCTATGACCTTATACAGTGCAGTTCACTGAGCTCTTAACCATGTTGGTGTCACTGTTACTCCACAAGGTACATTGTCTGGGTATTTTGGGGTTTGGTTTACTTGATAAAAGAAACTCCAAAATTACATGGGAAAAAATGACTTTAAAGGATTATTAAGCTTGCAAAACAATGACTTACAAGTTAGAAATGCTGCAGAAAAACTGCCACCCAAGAGAGGTCCACCTTCAGCAAAATAAAGATACAAGAAATTTTTCATGGGAAAAATAGGTAAAATATAAGTAAGGAAAGTTTGAAAGTATGAAGTAAGGAGACTAATATATGGTCACATAAGCAAACTATATTTTAGGATTTGGTTTCTTAAGGATTATACAAATGCTTAGTTTGTAAAAGACCCTTAAGAAAAGCTTCTCAGTGTTCAATTTTGGTTTTATTCACAATAAGGTATGAAAGGTGTTAAAAGGATTCACTACACAGACAAGAAGTCAGATTCGTGAAATCTTTTACCAGGTCATTTTTATCCCAGGCAAACCTGTAAAAAATGCCCAGGTAAAACCTTTGGCTACAAGGAACCTATCACCAGTTGTGGCTTTGTGATGTTAATTCCTTTCTTGGGTTTCAGGGTCCATTTCATTGAAAATATTCACATATAAATCCACAACTACTTGTAAAAATTTAGTTTTGTTTGTCTTTGTGGTTACTGTGCATAGGTGGCATTTTTCCTCTGATACAGAAACCATTGCATGACTTGTGAGCACCATCAGCTCACCACATCTGGGAAGAGGAGTTTCCAGTCCTTCCCACTCCCACCTAAGTCCCAGCATGCTTAAGGCTGCCTGCCACATCAGAAGGAGCTTGGAAGGAAATTGGCTGATTTTTACCCTCTTTGCTGACAGTAGCCTGATGACCATCAGATTCTCATCAATACTTTTAATTCTGTTTTGCATTTTTTACGCAAAATATCCCAAAATACTTGCTGTACTTAAATCATTCTTGTCTGCCAGCTCAACTTCAAGGACCTCCCCTGATCTGTGTTTCTGGATGTGTGGTTCTGGCTGATGTTCCTATCTTTTTGCTTTTGATAAAATCTCTTATTCACGTAGCACAAGTGCAGCCATCTCAAACTGATGTCATGAAAGTGCTAATAAATGTAAACTCCCACTGTACTTCCCATTTTGTCACAGACACTACTAAAAAATTGTTGTTTCACAGATTGAGAAAACTGTCACAGTGATTCAATGCTAATGATTTTGTGAAATGCTTTTCCAGTTTGAAGTTTAAGGCTTTGGGGAGGCTTTCTTTAAGTACAGATACAGTATATAGAATGACCAGACTCTGAGATGTCTCTGTACAGGACCACCTATTTGCTGACCATGTAGTCCCCTGTAACTGGGTTGTCGTTTTGAGGGTCTTCCTTTGCCAGAAACACACAGCAGCTATTACTCATTGATTGCAGAAATTTGGAGCAAAGACGCTGTAAACCAGATTTATGTAGGACATCTGGTCAACAAAACACAAGAGTTGTCTTCATAAAAATATCCCCTCACAGAAACTATTTAAATAAACTAACCATAGACAAGTCTGCAGGACATGATACAATTAATTTTTGAGCTCTGAAGGCTCTCTGCAGTGTGTCTGTGGATGACTGCTAACAATCCCGGAATACCCAGAGGACTGTCGGAATTTCTGGGAGTGGAGTAAGATAAACACAGCCTGAGACCAGTAGAAAGATGAGGAGCCACTTACAGAGCAATTGGTTCAGCTTAAGTTGTGGGAGGATCTGGGAATTAGTTCTCTATCAGTCTTTTCTACTAAAAATAAGGTGATTGATGAGCTTTCATATAATCACAGAATAATTTGTGTTGGAAGGGACCTTTAAAGTGCATCTATTTCAAACCATCTGCAATGGGCAGGGACATCTACAATCAGACCAGGTAGCTCAGCACTCAGCTCAGCCTGGCCCTGAATGTTTCTAGAAATTGAGCATTTGAAAGTACTCAGTATAGAGCTGGGATGACACTGCTGCTCACAGTTAAACTGTTCTTTAATGTAGGTGAGGGTGAAAGGATTTCTGGGCTCCTGGCATGACAGGCTGGGGACTAAAATGTTGAAATGTTGAAGACATTTTCTTCAGAGGATGAAACATCTCATCATTGTGGATGACTTCCTATCAAATGGAGGGAGAACAGTGGAGTTTTCACAGGCAATTTCCTGATCCAGATATAACAATTTAAAAAAGTAATAATGAACTTTTTGAATCATAAATCAGGGGCAACCCTGGTCAGAATTGAATGTTATGTGCTATTGGGAAGACAAGGCATAAAGTGCAATGATTAGGGAGACAAATGGCCAAAACATATACACATAGAGTGGCCAAACATCACTGAAGGATCAGAAGTATCAGCTAGGTTTGCCTGGTGCAGATTTTTGTATTTTTAATTTTTTCCTTCTAATTCATTTTCTTCCTGCTTCCCATTTCATAAATGTGCACACTCCCTATGGGATGTACAAGCAAGCTGTGGAGATGTAAGATATGACAGATGTTTGTTCTGTCCTGCACATCACTGCAAACATAACAAGCATCTCGCAAAAGCCTTTTCCCAAAAAAAATACTCCCTCAGAATGATGATGCTGACACCACACAGCTCCACTGTTTTTCCATAGCCTCCTCAGCATAGCTATTTACTTACTCTAATGCTCTAGACTGAATCCAATAAAGTAATTGCAAAAGTCATAGTCCTGGCACTTAAATTATAATTTCAGATTTTAACACTGGCTTTTGTTGTTTCTAGTAAGTGCCCTGATTGCAGGATTTTATGCTTGCCTGTTGTAAATCTCTTGCTGTATTCGAAGTTTTCTTACTAATACATTTTACAGTTGTTAGTCGATTTTCAGCCAGTCTCCAGCCCTTGCCTGCACATCATGTCCCCTGCCTGGATGTGAAAGTATGTCCAGGATGGTAAAAAATTAATCCTGAAATATACATGACCCTGACAGCTTTACTGAATAAACTCGGAATTACCGGAGAAATGTCATAGATTATTGATGGAATGTGGAAAGAATTGTTAAGCATAGCTGAAATACTAGTAAAATTATGAGGAAACTATGGGTCACTGCTGGAAACTACCCCTGAGATGAGCCATATAGATATGGGGAAACAGAGGTAGCTGTAAGAAACCCTGCTGATAATGTAATCTGATCTAACACTGATGTATGAGATATGCTTACTCCTTTCCCCTCTTACTTCATATCTTTTAAAGGCTATCCAAATTCATGGTGTCATCTATGTTTGTCATGATGCAAAGGCTCTCATAATACAACTGGAACAACGGAGATGATTATCATAGGGTTGACTTTTCAGGAGAGGAATGTATTCAGTGAATTTAACAAAATGCATCTGAAAGATGGAAAAATGCAAAACTGTGTGTGACCTGAACATACCTGATCATACAGGAATGAAAACAAAAGGGAGCCTCCAATTCCCTGAGCTGGAGATACATAGGCTGGCACATAGGCTGAGGGAGTGTTGCCTTCCCTGAACATCACTCAGCGTGGTCCATCCTGAAGAATGGCACAGCATGCTCAAGGGACAATCTGATTATAAAATTTCTTTCATTTCTACAGAGCAATAACAAACACACAGGGAGCGAAGCAGATCATGTCATAGGTAACATTTGTTAAAAATAGTTTGCTCCTTGACTTCTGCTTTGGTTAGTAAAAAAACATTTATTGACATTTTTGTCCAAGGCTACAGCCTTGTGTTCATAAGCAAGCTAGGTGAGAAGAACTGAAATTACTGAATTAAATATATCACTGTACAAGAAATTCATCATCAGCTTGCAAGGTTGTACCTAGCCTTGTCTGTAAGGATCTGATCTGGGTCCAGTATTAGTAAGGATTTTCATCAGCAATATTGTATTGAAGAGAAAAGTACAGTTTAAAAAAATTTCTGGATGACAGTGTGTATACTTCTACTAACTGTGTATGTGTGTTACATATGGGGAAAATACTGAGTAGAGGGTTACTTTTCCTTCCCAGGATATGGCTACAACCTCATCCAGCACCCACAACTGCATCCTCAGTAATCCAGGAGTGAATAAATATCCTGGTAACACTCTGATTTGAAAACGCTTTCTTCATATGCTAAATAGGACATGGAAAACTACAGCTTGGTTCCTATCTTCACTTGTAGTCCCAGGCCAAGTCAGTGAGAGAAGACACAGCCATTCTGTCCAGGGTAAACTTGATCAAACCTCTCTTTGCCACGGCTGCAGCATCCATGGTGATCTTTCTCTAATGCAACCCAGGGGACAGCTGTTCTTATGAAATTTGTTTTTTATATTCACAGGTCAGCAGACTTCTGAATTATTC